CGTGCGGGCATTCCCACCAGGGTACGGCCTCGGCGTGTCCTGCCTGCGCTGTGCTCACACCTGTCTTCCGCCCCACAGGCTGGGGCGCGGCTCATGGCCTCTGGGTTTCTGGGTTTGGGGTGGTGCTGGGCCGATCTTTCTGCTTCATGCCTCACTCCCTACCTCTTTCTGTCGGCGCGGCTTCGCAAGGAAGTGGACTGCGGTCTGTGCAAAGGTCGAGTGGACCTATTTGTGGTCACTCGTTGAAACAGATCATGCTTCTGCTTTTCTGTTCCAGGTGCTCAATCACAAGTTATATAAAAGCCGTGTCGACTTTGACACGGCCATTGACCAGGTCCTCACAGAGTTCTCCGCGGACATCGTCTGCCTGGCAGGGTTCATGAGGATCTTGTCTGGCCCCTTCGTCAGGAAGTGGAATGGTGAGCGGGAGCGGCCTGGCGCCGCGTTGGGAGGCCCCGTGCAAGTGCACCTCGCGGTTAGCTGGCCCGGCGACCCCACGGGCGTGTTTACGGGACACTGACTGTCACGGTCACAGAGTCCTTCCCTTCGCCTTCGCCCAGAGGACGCCCAGGGTGATCCACGATCCTGCTCTCACCGATGCCTAGGCCTGTGTGTTACCGCTTTCCTAATAGAGCGGGGCTTTGTTTCCCACACCACACAGACAGCACTTCCTCTTCTGAGTCCGTGCTCGGAGGGGGCCTTTTCACTTGTCTGGGAGCAAGAGTGTGGCTCCCCGAGCCCCCCACCCGCTCCTCGGGGAGTGCAGGCGCTGCTGGAGGTGCAGGGAGGACGATGTAGCCAGAAAACAAGAGGCCTGGGGCTACTGCCTTTCCCACCAAAGTTCCCCTGCGTCCGGCTGTGTGTTGTGCACACATGTGAGCAGTAAACGCACTGTCTCTCCAAAGGGTTTGTGTTTCCCTAAGAGGACAGCGGGAGCGCACGTGGTAGAACATGAGCAGGCGGGGCCTTAGATGCTGAGGCACAGGGCTGAGCCGGCATCTGGCTGGTGGACATGCCACTGGTCCCACGTGGACACTGTGCGAGGGTTTCGCGTGTCTCCGTAGTGTGCGCCAGCGACACACTGAATTATCTTCCAGAGCCCCAGGGCCCACAGAGCGCGCCCTGCCCCATCCCTGTCCCACCTCAGTCACTGCGGGTCCCTCGGCGAGTCCTCAGCCGTGCAGGGCAGGGACCTGCCGCCCCAGATGCGAGCCTGTTTCTCCCTTTGCCTCCTCTCTGTCTCTGACAAAGAAAACACCTTCCAGAGAAATCCTGCCCCCGCTCCTGTTCCCGACAGGAGAGCACGCGGTCCTGTAACAGGAACAGGACGTTTCCTCTGACTCTGTGCTCGCCTTCCAGGGAGAATGCTCAACATCCACCCGTCCCTGCTGCCGTCCTTCAAGGGCGCCGATGCCCACGAGCAAGCCCTGGCCGCCGGCGTCGCGGTGACGGGGTGCACCGTGCACTTTGTCGCGGTGAGTATGTCTCCACCGCGGCGTCACGGCTTTGGAGGTGAGTGGTACCGGCTGGAACGTCGGGTTCAAAGCGCTGCCTCCTTTTCCAGGAAGACGTGGATGCCGGGCGGATCATTTTACAAGAAGCTGTGCCGGTGAGGAGGGGCGACACGGTGGCCACCCTGTCCGAGCGGGTGAAGGTCGCGGAGCACAGGATCTTCCCCGCGGCCCTGCAGCTGGTGGCCAGCGGCGCCGTGCGGCTGGGCGAGGACGGCCAGCTCTGCTGGGCCCAGGAGGAGTGACGCCGCCTCTGCAGGAAGGAGGGCCGGCCGCTCGCACAGTCCGGTGGCTTTTATCACGTCCTCAGCCCAGAAACTCGCCGTTTCCTCCTTGGTCATTTTTTAACAAACAGAGTCGTGACAAGCAGGGCTGGTGGGGCTCCCGGCACGTGGATGTGTGGCCTCCAGGGGTCTTGCAGGTTCACCTGTTCACAACCTTGTTCGGGATCCAGCTCGTCATTCTAATTCCTCCCACTGTCAGCCACACAACACACCAAACTCCTCGCCGTCCTTCCCCCCTTTTTCTGGCCGACGTCACCTCTGGGAGGCAGCACGGCCGTCACATAAACAGGCTCGGGCCTCCCGCACACGGTCCCTCCTTAGGAACTGTCGGCCCGTTGGTTCTGGAGAGTTCACTGATGTGAAGCCACACCCTGGCCTGGGAAGTTCCTAGAGAAAAAATCTCATGCTTTAAAGGTAGAGGCCAGTGCCGCGAGGTAAGTTAGACCAACGTCAGCTTCAGACTTCGGAGATGAACTCCCAGCTCGCCCTGATGCGGCGGCCACTACGGGGACCCTGGCTCCAGGGACACCGCCAACTCCGTGTCTTGGAACAGGAAGAACCAAAATGTGTGTGACCATGGGATTGCCGGAAACCACGCGTCTGGGACCGGCAGGGATGCAGGACAAGCAGTCGCCTGGACCGCCCGTCTCGTTTGTGAGGAGTATTTGGACATGTTGGATGTGTTTATAATGATACTCACAGAGAAAAGGTCATTTAAGCTTTGGCAGCCATAACGCAAAAACGGAGAAAAATGTCAATATTTTACTGGCGTAATAAACCCGGACATTTTTATTGTAGATGTCTCTGTGTCTGTCTGTGTGAGCAGCAGTGAAACAGCCCCTGAGCTCACTGTGTTCAGGTGGGAAGATAGGGAGACAGGGCAGGGCTGTGGGGGGAGGTCCCCAGCATCAATGAGCCCTGAGGTTACACACAGAGAGGGTTCAGGTGTGAGTTCCAAATGTCCTAAAGGGGAATGTTCCAAGAGAGATTTCATCTAAATATTCCTTCTCAATTTTTTACTACAATTTTTAAATCCTTACCCAAGGATATGTTTTGATTGATGTGCGAGATAAACATCAATCGGTTGCTTCCTGTACACCACATACCACACACACACACCAGAGATTGAACTTGCAACCTAGTATTTGCCCTGACTGGGAATCAAACCGCACCCTTTTGGCACACGGACACAATGCTCCAGCCACCTGAGCCACCTGGTCAGGGCAATATTTTTACTACTTTTAACTGCTGTATAAACTTTTAAATAACTCACGTACAATATAGTAGTGTTTAGTTATACTATGCTTAATAATGTGTTGCTAGTCACTCATTACTATTCTCCTTAGCTCTCTCCGTGCTAAGTGGCCAGAAATAGCCCAAATCATGCCCCAGGGAGAGGCTGGCAAGGGCCCTACAGACTCCACTTCCCGTGGGCGCTCAGCCTGTGGCTGCCCCATAACCAAACGCACTCTGGTGAGTGCTCCCTGCAGGGAGCATGCCCACACCCTTCCCTTCTCCCACAGGCGTGCATCTCCTAACCTCCAAGGGACCCCAGGAGACTTGCAACCAGGGGAGCAGTGGGCAGCAGCAACTGGTCCTGGGCTCACCCGGACCCTGACCCCAAGGCCCCCTTTTCTCTGACTTCTCGGGGAGCCAGAGCAGCCCAGCCTGTTGCTTCTATGCCCTTGTTGCTCTGTCATGAGCGTGTTTTTGCTTTGGTCAATAAGTTCTTTTCTAAAAATATAGGCCACACACTCTGGTCGCCTGTATCTCTGGATCGATCATACAGCCTTAAAGTCCCAGGCAGGGCCATCTGATTGGCCATGTTTAGGTCACCCACCTATCCTCAGCCGGGGTCAGACAGTCACACTGCCGCTCACCTGACTGTGGGTGCCAAGCTCGGCAGCCCCCACCCCCCGGCCCTGGGACAAAGGTTTGGTCCCACAGCTGAAGTGATGATGCAACAGCAGGGGGTTCAAGAAGACACATAAAACCCAGCTTCTGTCCTAGCTGACTTGGCTCAGTGGATAGAGGGTCCGCCTGGGGACTGAAGGGTCCCGGGTTGGATTCTGGTCAAGGGCACGTGCCCAGGTTGTAGGCTTAATCCCCAATAGGGGAAATGCAGGAGGCAGCCAATGAGATGATTCCCTCTCATCATTGATGTTTCTATATCTTCCTCTCCCTTTCGCTCTGAAATCAATAAAAAAAACTTTTTTAAAAGGTGTTTTTTAAATATATTTTTCTTGATTTCAGAGAGGAAGCGGGGGAGGGAGAGAGCGAGATAGGAATTCTCATTACCCCATGAACATTGCCTGAAGCCACTGGACTGAAAGGGTGAGTTGTGTGGCACGTGACTTCCATCTCAATAAAACTTCCCCAAAAAAGAGGTACAATCCCTCTGTCACTGGAAAACAATTAATTCATGGATTTGGAGCACATCAAGATTACGTGTAATCTTATAAATTACATCGAACTTACATGGTAATGTTCCGCAGGCAGCACATGAACTCACTTAGGTGGACACAGACAGGACTTCATGATGGTGACAGCGCATTTTTTTTTAAAATATATTTTATTGATTTTTTACAGAGAGGAAAGGAGAGGGATAGAGAGTTAGAAATATCGATCAGCTGCCTCCTGCACACCCCCTACTGGGGACGTGCCCGCAACCAAGGTACATGCCCTTGACCGGAATTGAACCCGGGACCCTCCAGTCTGCAGGCCGACACTCCATCCATTGAGCCAAACCGGTTAGGGCTGACAGCGCATTTTAAACCCCGTCTGAGCCGCAGTCCTAACTCTCGGGTCCTCCACCTGTGAGCCTGGCCATCCTCGCGGGTGAGCTCGTTCAGACGCTGCCTCCCGAGCCCACCTGTGCTCAGCGCTACCATGAAAGCCGGGGATTTTAACGTTCGGGTCTATTTCACGTTACAAAACAGATTCATAAGTTGAAATATTGGTGGAACTGAAAGTCCGACTGCATTTAAGAAGTAGTTTTGGCCCAGCCGGTGTGGCTCAGTGGTTGAGGATCAACCTATGAACCAGGAGGTCCTGGTTTGATTCCTGGTCAGGGCACAGGCCTGGGTTGCGGGCTCCATCCCCAGTGGGGGGTGCGGGAGGCAGCTGACTGATGATTCTCTCATCACTGATGTTTCTCCCTCCCTCTCCCTTCCTCTCTGCAATAAATAAATAGTTTTAAGCAGTTTTGTTGCAGAACTGTCGCACAGTTCCTTTGCCTCAGCGACATGCAGAGACAAGCAGCTCCATCACGACATCACTCCACATATTCAGCTGACCAGCCCATTCGGCCGCCTGCCGCTTCGTGGAAAGCTCAGTGTGGGGAACGCTCCATCTCAGAAAGGGTGTCCTTCCTCGGCGTCCCCAGCAAGCCCGCCTTCCAGCTGCGCCCTGGTGCCTGCGGCTGCTGGCAGGACCTGGTGGGACTAGGGATGAGGGAAAGGTGTGCCTGTCTCTCGCAAAGAGAGGGAAGAATGATGGTCAAAGATCGGCGGGACTTCCTTGCACACATTTAGGGATTCCCATACCGACTACCTTCATCCCACTCCGGGGCCTTCGCTTCAGGATGGAACTGAGCGGCTGGCCAGGGATGATGAAGGCCATCACAGTGAACAGACAGAGCCCGCAGCCCCGCCACGAGTCAGCAGGTGAGAGCAGCAGGCAGAGCAGCCGAGAAAGAAGGGGCAACACACAGGGCAGGGAAGGAGGGGTGCCGCTGAGGGGAGGGTGCTTCAGGGAGGGCAGTGAGCTTCTTCCTTCCTCTTAGAGACCAAGTGAACTTATTACAAATGCTAACTCCTGCCCTGGCCGGTTTGGCTCAGTGGATAAAGCGTCGACCTGCGGACTGAAGGGTCCCAGGTTTGATTCTGGTCAAGGGCACATGCCTGGGTGTGGGCTTGATCCCCACCCTGGTCAGGGCATGTGCAGGAGGCAGCTAATCAATGGCTCTCTCTCATCATCAACGTTTCTAACTCTCCCTCTCCCTTCCATTCTCTCTCTAAACAAACAAAAAAAAAGGCACAAAATGCTAACTTCTGAGCCCACCTGTACTCTACTGTAATGAAAGCCTGGCCTAAGGAGAGAGATCAAATCTTGCACGTGGAGGCTCACGCCCCCCTAAATGCAAACATCACTGTGGTGCGATGGCCCTGAAGGAGGAGTGACCCAAAGCCAGGCCAGCGGAACAGGGTGTGAAAATAATCATAAAAGGAGTCGCTTTAAAATGGAGCTGCCCCGGAGGCGCCGCCGGGCAGTCTCATGCCTCCAACCTTCCAAAATGGTAAACTAACCTTTGCTCTGGGCCTGAAGCAACACTGTGTCCCAAAGAACTGTTTGCAAGGACAACAAGAAAGCAGATAAGACTGAGGGCTGAGGACTAGTGACCTGGAAATTAAGTACATTGTTGAGAGTTAGGCTACTATGTTGCCTTATCTGAACCCACAGAAATGCTGGTTCTAAGGATGCCGTTGTTCCCTCCCTTTCCCCCAACTGCCCCTGGCCTCCCTCTCCTGATCTGAGTCCTCCTGGGGTTTCCCCAAACAGCTATTCTCTTTCTTTTTTAATCCTATATAATAAAACCCTAATATGCAAACCGACCAAACGGCGGAATGACTGGCAGAACGACCAGTCGCTATGACACGCACTGACCACTGACCAGCGACCGGAGGCGATGGGAGGGCGGGGCCAGCCAGCAGGTGGCACCAGGCTGCCAGCCAAAGCGGTCGCCCCACAGATGGCCCTAGTCGCCAGCCAGGCCTAAGGACCCTACCTTATATATTGGGAACAGTCTCTTAGATTTAGAAATTAAAACCTGGCAAGGCTACTCTAACACTGAAAAAACAGGATGATGCAGCGATGACATGCATGGACTCTGGCTTGCACATGTGGTCAGCCCTGATCCTGACACTTATAACTGTATGACAAAGCCAATTACTTAACTTCTCTCTGCTTCAGTTTTTCCACCCATAAGATGGGGAAATGGTACTACTGCCCCAGAAGGATCATGTTATGTACTACTTTTTGTAATCAGGGCAAAAATATGTAGCTGCCCATACAGCAGCAAGATGCCTTTCACCTGGATGAAAAGTATGGTCACTGGTGCATGCAGCGTCCCAGATTGCGAGAGGAATGTCCAACTGCCGGTTTAGGCCTGACATCCCCTGAGGGGCCCCAGATTGCGAGAGGACACAGGCTGAGCTGAGGGATACCCGCCCTCCACCCCTGTGCACAAATTTCGTGCACCGGGCCTCTAGTATTAAATAGAATGCTTGTTGCCTCTCACTTCAGAAGGCCTTTTATTATTTAGGTGACCAAGGGTGTGTCCAGCCAGGGGGCAAGGGAAGAGGCTAAAGCTTCTACTTGCTTTTTTTAAAAAATATATTTTACTGATTTTTTTACAGAGAGGAAGGGAGAGGGATAGAGAGTCAGAAACATCCATGAGAGAGAAACATCAATCAGCTGCCTCCTGCACACCCTCTACTGGGGATGTGCCCGCAACCAAGGTACATGCCCTTGACTGGAATCAAACCTGGGACCCTTAAGTCCGCAGGCCAACGCTCTATCCACTGAGCCAAACCGGTTACGGCCTACTTGCTTTTAGAGTTTCTATCTCGGAGGAAAGTTGGGATAGTACAAACTCCTGGAGTGCACTAAGCAACGTGTGAGGCTGAAAGAGACCTGCTGTCGTAGGTTGCTAGGCCGCCATCTGAAATACCACAGACAGGGTGGCGTAACCAGAGAGAGAAGGCCACGGCAGTCTCTGACCTCAGCACCCAGCGCTGGCATTGGAGGCCCAGTAATTCTTTGTTGTGGGGCGTCCTGCCCTGTGCATTGTAGGGTGTTGAGCAGCATCCCTGGTATCGACCCACTGGACACCAGTAACAATTCCCAATTGTAACAATAAAAATGTCTCCACGCCGGCTGGGGCGGCTCAGTGGTTGAGCACTGACCTGTGAACTAGGAGGTCACGGTTCCATTCCCCATCAGGGCACGTACCTCAGTTGCAGGTTCGATCCCAGGCCCCGTAGGGGTGTGTGAGAAGCAACCAATTGCCGTGTCTATCACACATGGATGTATCTCTCTCTGTATCTCCCCCCACACCTTTCCACTTTCTCTAAAAAAAAAATCAATGGAAAAAATATCCTTGGGTGAGGATTAATAACAAAGAAAATGGTAACTACATGAGTATGTTAATTAGCTTGATTGTGGTGATTGTATCAATATATGCGTATATCGGACTATCAAGTTGTACACCTTAAATATACAGAGTTTGTATTTGTCAGTCACTCCTCAGTAGAGCCGGACACAGCTTCTGAGGTGAGGAAAGCGAGGAGGGCTGCACTGTAAAGCAGCGACGGCCATCAACAGGGCGGGAGTGTAAGGGGGTGGGGAAGGATGCAGATCGTGGTGCCCAGGGAGCTGCGTGCACGTGTTCTCCCACTAGCGGCCGGCAATCAGGGAGAGGCAGACATTATTCATAATTTCAAGGACCAGCTCCAGTCAAATAATTCATCACATTAATTCAATGCCAAAATGACAACCAGACATCCTGGCCAGAAGGGCAGTTTACATGAACGAAGATGCCCAAACCCTGAGTGTGGCCCTCACTGACCACCTTAGGGTAGTTCAGTAACTGGCCAGCCGGCTGGGCAGAGGGAAAAGGGGAAAATACCCAAATGAGTGTGACTCTTCTCCCTTCAGGACTCCCTCCCTTAGTTCACACTCGTTGAACGACGTAAACTGACTTACACCTTCTTTCTCTTCAAGCTGACAGTCTACGCCAAGCTCTTCCCTGACCAAACAGAGTGAGAAATGAATGCAGCGCTAGCCAGTTTGGCTCAGTGGATAGAGCGTCCGTCCGCCTGCGGACTGAAAGGTCCCGTGTTCGATTCCCATCAAGGGCATGTACTTCGGTTGCAGGTTCCCAGGCCCTGGTCGGGGCTCGTGCAGGAGGCCACCAATCGATGCATCTCTCTCACATCGATGTTTTTCCCGTCTCTCCCTCTCCCTTCCACTCTCTCTAAAATCAATGGGAAAATGTCCTCGGCTGAATGCAGATGCCACCTAGGAAAGCATTTTCACAGGGACTCTAAAAACTGTAGCTGCAGGAGATACTGTTTGCAAAGGTCACTGGACAACATTCGCTCGTAGCACCCAGCCTGAACCATAAGTCACTCTTCAGGGAAGTGTGATTTGGGTTACTGTGGTCTACAACTTACACGAAAGAAACCAACTTCTTCGCAGTTATCACAGAACCAGCAAACAAAAGAAAATGAAGCCCTAGCTGGTTTGGCTCACTGGATAGAGCGTCAGCCTGGGGACTGAAGGGTCCCAGGTTCGATTCCAGTCAAGGGCATGTACCTGGGTTGCAGGCACATCCCCAGTGGGGGGTGTGCAGGAGGCAGCTGATCGATGCTTCTCTCTCATCGATGTTTCTAACTCTCTATTCCTCTCCCTTCCTCTCTGTAAAATATCAATAAAATTATTTTTAAAAAAAAGAAAATGAAAATGAGACACAGGTGAATTAAAACAGAGCCCTCACTCGCGTTGGTCGAAGTGTGAAATTACAGCCGCCAGGACAAAAGAGACATGGTGTTCCCGTGCCGCGCTCCGTCAGCGGCCAACACGCATGTAATGTAACCAGAGTCATGACGTCTGGTTTTCAGTAACTTTCTAAAGTAGCATCATCTACTTCCCACCCGCTCAGCAACACCATTAGGAAAGGTTTGGATGCGCTAACTAAATTCTTGCCAGCTGTCTATCCTCTTTATGGAAAATTTTGTTTCAAAATGCTCAACCACATTGTGAGAACACAGGATTATGAAAAAGATGCTCTAAACTAGGAAATGTCATGAACATCGATTTTCAACCGTTTTTCATTTCATGGCACACATAGACTAATTACTAAAATTCTGCAGCACACCAAAAAACATATCTTTGCCGATCTGAGAAGAAACGTAGGTATAATTCTGATTCATTCACACCGGATGGCTAACGTTATGTTGGCTGTTGTCATTATTTTATTTGACAATCTAAGGGAAAAGAGGTCAGTGCCCGACTAAATAGTCAGGTACTGCATGTTTTAAAAAATTGTCGTGGCACACCAGTTGAAAATTGCTGATCTAACCCAACATACTTTCATTTAAAGTTAGTCCTACCCTGGCTGGGTGGCTCAGTTGATGGCGCATCATCCTAGGCACCGAAAAGTTGCCGGTTTGATTCCCAGTCGGGGCACATGCCCAGGTTGCAGGTCCCCGTCCCCTGGCTCAGGGTGCAAACAGGAAGCAAGTGACAGATGTTTCTCCCTCACATGGATATTTCTTTCTCTTCCTCTCCCTTCCTCTCTCTAAAATCATTAAAAACATATTTAAAATAATAATAAAAAAACTGATCCTCTGAAAAGAGAAGTGGACTTACAATTCTAGTCCTCGCTTTGCCATTTAACAACTTAAATGAGTCACTTTTAAGATGCAAACATCAAAATGAGATTTGTGATGGCAGCTTTGTGAAATGCCAAGTGCTATACAAGTCTGAGTGTTTGATCAGCTGCCCTGATGCTTTCTGAATGCTGTGCTTACAATCGACTGGAAGAGTAACCACCAGTAGAAACTTTTATGCTCATTGTTTGCTTATAAGGAAACCCCTCTGCTTGAGCTGGTAAAGCTTTCTCTGTGCACCTAGAAGGAAGGCAACAAATTATTATACTGTCTGTCACTCAGGAACTTAGGACAGCTAGGACCTAGTTCCGGCTCTTCTTAGGAGACATGGTCACAATAAAAAATACTGCTTATGTGCGAGGCACTGTGCCAAGTGGTTCGTATAATGGTGCAACTCCCACAAAAGCTCAGTGAGTCTGGGCAATTGTTTCATTACATGTGAAATAGGGGAAACAGCAGCATTTACCTCAAAGGGCTGTTGCAAGGATCACTAGACTATATGTAAACGCTCTTGGCACAGGGTCTGGCAAAAACTAAGTGCTAAATACACGTTTACCAGTGATTGGTGCTCTCCTCTCACATAAAATCAGGCACAGAGAAAAGCGAATGAAAGAAAGAGGATTTTAAGCCCAGGTCTGACTCCCAACTTTCTTTTTCTTTCCTTGTTTTAACTACCTGCCCATAGTAAGTTCCCTGTTTTGACTTTGCCCTCGACTGTCCTCAGCCTGCGCCAACACCTGGCTAAGCGAGCTGCTCAGTAAGTACTTGCTGAACGATGAAGGCTAGCTGTCCAGCCGGGTTCGGCTACACCTTTCTGGACTCGGTGGATCTTGTGGTCTCTGCGCAGGTGTCCCGTCCGCAGGCCAGGAAGAGGCTGTTCTGGGAAAGGACTCGTCTTCCCTCTCCCTCCCCAAAACAAGTGTCTGAGGTCAAGGATCCCAGGCCTGGCCGGGTAGCTCAGATGGTCAGAGCATCTGTCCCCATATCCAAAGTTGTGGGTTGGATCCGTGGTCAGGGCTCATACAAGGAGCAACCAATGAATGCATAAATAAGTGGAACAACGAACCAATGTTTCTCTCTCCCTTCCGTTCTTTCTCTCTCCCTCTCTCTTTCTAAAAATCAATAAATTAAAAAAAAAAAAACTTCAAGCCGGGCCTCCGTGGCTCAGCAGTTGAGCCTCGACCTATGAACTAGAGGGTTACGGTTCGCTTCCCAGTACCCCTGGGTTACGGCTTGATCTCTGACAATGCAGGAGGCAGCCCATCAATGAGTCTCTCTTATCACTGATGTTTCTCCCTCCCCCCGCCTTTCCCCCGTCTTCCACTCTGAAATCAATACCGCCCCCCCAAAAAAAGACTTCAGGGCTCCCAACCTATGCCCTGCACACTCCGCAATAGCCCTACACACCTCCGCCCCGACTCCACGACATTGCCGCTGCACCCACAGCCCCGCTGCACCCACGGCTCCCTCCCACCTCGCGCACTGTAGGCGCAGGCGCACTTCCCCGCGAACTACATCTCCCACAATCCCAATCGCCCGGACCACCTTCCGCTCGAGGTGTGGGGGAGGTGGGCCAGGTCGCCCCGGGGCGGGACCGGGCCTCCTGAAATGTCCTGCCTGTGTCCTCGTGGGTAGAATTCGTTTTGAGAGAGATCCTGGGAGCCCGGGAAGGTAGGACACCTGTCCCGGTTGGGTACGACTCTGCCCCCCGCCGCCTCTCAGGTCCCCTCAGGGTGAAGCGGCACATGGTCTGGTCCGGAGGGGACCCCGGCGCGCGCGGAGACTCCGGGGACTGAAGGGCGGCGCGCGCGCGCATGCGCGGAGGCGCGGCGTGGGGGCGGGAGCCGCGCAGCCCCTTCCCCGCGTCGGTGAAGGTGAGTGGGGGCCCGGCGGGGCGTGTCCCGCGATGGGACTGACGCTCCCCCGCAGCGACCCCCGTTGGCACGACCACCACCTCCCAGCTACTCTGAAAGCCGTGGACCCCAATTGTCCCGAAAGCTGGGGTTCCCGGGCGCTCCGGTTCGGCGTTCGTACACCAAAATGCCTCTTAGAGTTAAGCCACTGCCGCCCTTGCACTGCCATTCCCGGCACCGGTCTCTCTTCTCCACGTGCCATCTGTGCTCACCGGGCAGCTCACCTGTGGGGGGCCCCCCTTTCCCCGGCTCTCCCCGCCGGCAGCAGCTAGCTCCATCCTGGCCAGCCCTGGAGATGGGAGGCCTGGTGCGCGATCTGTCCACCAGCTGTCACCCCGCTGCAGACTGCCCGCCTCGCCCTCTGCTCCCCTCTGTCCTTGACATGATGAGGCAGCCAAATGCCAGGAAACAACGGTGCTGATGGAGCTTATAACCAGCGGAATCCAGACAAACGTTTCCTTTCTTTCTTTAAATATATTTTATTGATTTTTTACAGAGAGGAAGGGAGAGGGAGAGGGATAGAGAGTTAGAAACATCGATGAGAGAGAAACATCAATCAGCTGCCTCCTGCACCCCAACTGGGGATGTGCCCGCAACCAAGGTACACGCCCTTGACCGGAATCGAACCTGAAACCTTTCAGTCTGCAGGCCCATGCTCTATCCACTGAGCCAAACCGCTTAGGGCAAGACAAACATTTTTTTAAAAATACATTTGTATTGATTTTTAGAGAGGAAGGGAGAGGGAGAGATAGAAACATCAATGATGAGGTAATCAATGGCAGGCTGCCCCCTTGGGGACTGAGCCCACAGTCCAGGCATGCGCCCTGATGGGAATCCGCCAGACCTCCTGGTCCATAGGCTAGTGTGCCCTAACCCTAACCATTGTGCATACTGTGCTTGGTTATGCGACTTGGCTATGCTGCTTAACCACCTGGGCTTACATTTTCTCTTAAAAATAGGAGACTGGGTTAGTTGACCTCTAAGAACTTACCTGCTCTAAAATTCTGTGCTTAGTGAGTAGAATCCAGATTATATCACAATGTGTTTATGCTAGACATCATCAACTTCCATTTCTCTGCTAACATTAGTGAAAAATAGCTAGAAGAATGTTGTCAGCCGCCTTCGGAAGAACTGCCCATAGCGTGCTTGTAATTTCTTCCTTGTTGCTGCACATATGAAATTAGCAGATAACCCAACTCTCTTCCCCTTTACTTGTTGTCATTTTATAGACCGTTGCTAGGAAGAACTCTGGGCATGATAGTCAACACCTTGTATGTGATGATGGCTCAACTCTTAAGATCTCGTCTGATAAACGCTGCGATGATTCGTAACCGAATGAACATGCTCCCATCTCTTGGAGTCGTTGGAAACAGAATGATGTCAACTCATAAGTCACCAAAGAAGATGAGAGAATATTACAGGCGGCTGAATCTGGAAGAAGGATGCTCTGCAGACGATGTCAGGGAATCTTTTCGGAAGCTCGCCAAGCAATACCACCCAGACAGTGGCTCTCCCACGGCGGATTCTGCAACGTTCATAAAGATCGAAGAAGCATA